GCAACATTTAATAAAAGGCGTACCATTTGGGGGGGTTAGAGGTGCAAAATACTTTTTGGGTTAATGTTTTGTTTTGTTTAATTATGAAAATTTAGAGCTTGCAACTGAAAAATGTATGGATTTTAAAAACATTTAATATGGGTTGCTACTACTATTTAATTAAAATATGAGATAGGCATTACCCATCTCATACCCATTGGGTATGCAGAACAGAAATTTATGAATACATTTTTATCGAAAATGGTGCATCTACTCAAAAGCGATGCAAATACAGAGTACTTTTTTCAGGAAAAGACTCTTATTTTTATAATTGAAAAAAAAATACCCCCAAATTTTACGTCTATGATTTAATTTTGACCGTTTTGATTTTAGATCTAGATTCAGTCAAAATTAACAAAGTATCAAAAATAAATTTCTTTAAATTTAACCCTTTGGTAATAATTAAAAACAATAATTTTTTATTCCCCTTTTGGGGGACCGTAACTCCGCATTTTTCGATACATAATTAATAAACAAACTGGTGTTTTTTTCTATGCAAATTTTACTTTTGCCCCCCAATTTCGGTACACCCTGTATGGACATATATACAAAGTTAATGTATTCCTTTAAAGGTAGAATATTTATAATTTTGCTAACGTCCCTTTAAGATAAAAATTTTTAGGCCTAGCAAAGTCAAGTAAAATACAAATTAGAATGATGATTAGGTTTTTACCTCTATCTCAAAAGTATTTTGTGCCCTAATATTGCATACTAAGGGGTTTCTAATATCGTATTAGGACTTAAAGCCAATATCAGATATGTAATATTACAGGTAGGTACATGGGCCCCGGCAGAAAATAATCCAGGGGGCAAAAAAATTACGGGCAATTTCAAGATCTATCTTTAAATATTTTAATGCCCTTTTGTATGGTATTTCAATTTTACAGGGGAGGGGTAACTGCCCCTCTTGCCCTCTCCCTGTCGGCGACCATGTACATTGTACAGGTACTAGATTAATAGTGTGTTATATACAGTTACTCTTCTCTAATAAAACTGTTTTATAACGTACTTATGTCTTACAAAGTGTACCTGCACTATCCCAGAACAATTATTGTAATGAATTATCCACATAAACGTTATTTAAGACATCTGACCTCATAAAAATATTACGGGGCGTTTGGCACCAAATGTTTCACCTTAATTACTTAAGGTCTATTAAAATGTTAAATCGGCTAATTTATAAATAATTTTCACCTCTTATAATGGCTTTCAAAAAATGTTGATTAAATATTAGATTTAATTTAGTTTTAAAACCCTTTTAACGCGCCTTTATATAGAAAAATTATCGTAATAATTATTATCATTTTAATGCTTTCAGCCATCGTCAATGGGAAACTTTAAAAAGTTTTGCGATTCCATTTAAGTGTTCGAAAATCAAGGAAACTTGTGAAACAATGATGGGTAGTAAAACTAATAATTATTAGTTTTACAACCCATAATTTTATTATAATAAAATTATAACAACACAGACAAAATAATATGTTGCATATCCGGTATATTAAAAACAATCTCAGAATCCACCGTCGCACGTAAGGCAAAATGATGTATTTACGGCGTCAAAAATATTTATGATAGGCAAATGTCCAAACAGTGTTTTCCGTAGCTACCTTTATTGTTTTTATATAAAAACAATAAAAGTAGCTAAGGAAAACACTGAAAACACCCCAAACCAACTTAAATAGATATATCTATTTAAGAGCCGTTTCACATGCGACTGATAAAGTCCTGACGATCAGTCCTGATGGTTAGTCCTGATGACTAGGGGCCATTGTTTAAATGAACTTTTTCACATGCACTGCGTATCATCGGTTGACTGATTCGTCGGCACGGGCATCGGGACAGCCCGTGCGCACTGCGTACCGTCAGGACTATTAAGGGCTGTTAGTTATATCGTCGCCTTCAGGAGAAAATCACGTAACTCCACATTTTCATTAAAATGGTATTTTAGTGGCATCTGTTAGATAAAACTGTAACTAATTTATATGCAAGTTACAGATGTCCTAAAATAAACCGTTAATTTTAAATTTAGAAACAGAAATATACGTATCTCCAATCGTGGAGGAGCGTCCAGGGAATAATGCCTAACTCCAATATACAAATCAGTGCCATTGACAAGTATAAGTTATTGCCTAGTTATTTTTTCTGTATGTAAGTATGAAAGATTGTATAGTGTGTAAAGTTAAGGTACCATGAATAATTTAAGGTTACTTTTATTAACATAAAGTACATATTGGAGATACGTAATTTTCCATTAAACAATTTTTTGGCGGTAATGTGGAGATACACCAATACACCTTTAATATGTTTTTCTTTCCTCCTGTAAAATTTTACAACATGGAGTTAAGCAATTTTCTCCTGAAGGCGACGATATGGAGTATTTCATATGGTACGTACGGTCAGCAGAAACAGTGTTGCACAATGAGTAGTTTACGCATTGATACTGAAATTGTAATAAGTAGCATCGAACAGCGAAGATGCATCTGGTATGCAGATGATGAGAACTACAAAAATAGGGATGCAAAGAATAAAGCATTTGAAGAAGTAGCGGAAATAGTAAAGGGTGGGCCATCTATAAGTTGAATTTTAAACTACGTGCTATTAATGAAACTTTCAACTTAAGCGCCATGAATTGTTGACAATGGTTTAGTTTTAACCTTCCGATTACAAAATATGCACCGAATAAATTTGGATCAACGTTTCGAAATACTCAAAACTTACTTTTAATGTGACTGTAATCGCAGAGACGGCAAGAAAATTGCGTTTGGAAGAAATGAGGTGCCGTCAAACCAAAGTATTACAAATTTGATCAAAAAATTGCGCAGAAATGGAATGCTGGTGGACATAAAACATGTTTCGCATGCTCGTCCTAGACGTACACCTGTAGCAATCGCTGCTGTGGCCGAAAATGTACGCATGAACGCGTCAACACCAACTCGGAGCAGATGTCAACAACTCGGCCTTTCCCGTACCACTCTGAAGATGATTCTGTACAAAGACCTCGGTATGTTTGCGTACAAAGTCCAGCTTGTTCAGGAGTTAAAGCAAGTTGACCATCCACAACGTTTTCGCTTTGCTGAGTGGGCTTTAAACCAGTTAAACGATGACCCTTATTTTGCAAGAAAAATCATGTTTTCGGTAAGGCGCATTTTTACCTCAGAGGTTATGTCAACAAGCAACACTGTAGGATTTGGGCCACGGAAAATCCACACGTCGCCGTAACAAAGCCTATTCACCATTTAAAACAAAACATTCAAGCTCAAATTGCCTAAATAGAGCAGCAAACTTTTGACAAAGTGCTCGAAAATTGGTGTTCCAGGATGGGCTACTGCCGAGCCAGCTGAGGTGGCCACTTAAATAAAATCATTTTCCATACTTAATCGGAAGAAGCATTGTATCAAATAAAGCAAAATTCGTTGAAAAAAAAATCAGTGTTTCTTGTTCTCATTGCTATTTTATAATTCAACATAAACATGGCCCACCCTTTAGTTCCGGATTTTGAAAATTTTGCGGACGCAAAAAAGAACTTTTTGTGTTGTATTATTCTCTTTATACAAAAAGCGGCAACAGCGCAATTCCGGAGGGGCTGAGAACCGTCTCGTAGTAGACATTTCCGTACTATACGTTGCTTGTGAAACAATGGCCATGACCGTCAGTCCGTATCATCAGGACTGATCGTCAGGACTTTATCAGTCGCATGTGAAACGGCTCTAAGTCGGTTTGATATTCAAAGTAAGCCATTTTTTTATATTTATATATTTATATTTATAATATTTTGAATAATTCTAATATCGAAATTACCGTGCATAAAACAAAATAAAAATAAGTTGTTATATATGGGGCGATCCACGCCAAATCGGCCAAGATTCACACTTCATGTTTCCGATTTACTTCAAATTTTCAGGGCCGACAGAGGAACATAAATAAAGGAGAAATCCAAAATTTTAATTTTTTTTATGCATTTTTGTGGATTTTATATAATAAATAAAAAAAAATGTCACGTTTCTTATTTTTCGAAAATTAAAAAACTGAAACGACTGAAAATTTCGAGATAAATTTAGATGTACATATTTTTGGGCGCTCTTTAAAAAAAAAAAATTTTTCAAAAATTTTAACCTAAAAATTCATTAAAAAAATCATTTTTTTTAAACAAATTCAATTATCCAAAAAATGCCATCTCAAAAATTTTTCAAAAAATTTATGGTGATAGCCCTGAATCTTGCGCAAATTTTGACTAGTTACTTTTTGGGGGGACTCAAAAATTGTAGAAGTTATGAATTTTTTTATGAAGCGATGCGTTTGAAATCGTTACTCCCAATGCAATGGCTCCGCGCGACTTTTAAGCGCGCTTAGTCAAACGGGGGATGGAATGGTTTCAGACCAAACAAACAAGTAATTTTATGTATTTTATCAAAAACCAAAATTCATTTATTTCATTCTTAATTAATTGCAAAAAATGCGATGTAATCTCCTGATTTAATATTATAACTGTTGAATTTGTAAAAAAATAACTTTTTCTATCTTTTATGGTAAAAATTTTATTAGGCAAATTCTGTGTTATATAATTAATTTACAAATACTAAAAAAGTCTTTGACAAATACTGTCCTAGTATCCATGACAACCTAAAATGTTGATTTTAATTTGTTATTAGATTGCCATGCATTTCTGACGTTAGTCTAAAAGTAAACCATAACATTATTTAAGGCGTTAAATTTGAAACACCCTGTTTGTTGTTAGTAGTTATTATTAGTTATTATTATTGTTATTATTGTTAGTTATTATTAGTTATTATTGTTATATTAGTTATTATAGTTATTATTAATTATTATTGTTAGTAGTTATTATTAGTTATAATTACTAATTAGTATAATAGTTTTGGCGCATTAACCCGAAGTTTATAATAATTATAGAATTGTTGAGTTTAGTAATTTCTTGAGTGAGTTTATTAAGGAAAGCTATCAACATGAGTCCATCACACAAAAAGCGTTGCTGTAATCCATTTAAGTATCCCAACCGTAAGTGATTATTAATTAATTTTATACTTTATTATTCAAATTATTGTAAATTAAGTAAAATTAACTTAAGTTTTCATAGAGTTTTTAAATAAATGTTTTTTGCAGATCCTAATTCAACTCAACTCAGAAAGTTTTTACGTTTTCATAGGCATAAGTTTGAAAATATTCCCAAAGATGCTTTGATCTGTAATTCATGTCGAGTAAAATTAACAATCCAAGAAACTCCTGAAAATGAAGATTTAGGTTCAGATTCAACTGATTCAAATGCGGAAGAATTTATTTCATCAAAATTAACAAAATTAAATTTAAACATCGCCTTAAATGCTTTAGGTGAAAAAGAAATTGATGATAAAAAGTATGTTAAACATTTTTGTTTTGTAAAAAAAAAATGATAATATGCGCTCGATATTCATGAAAGTGATGCATCACTTTCATGTATATAATATAATATAATCAAAGACAAAATTATATTTTTCATTATCATAACTGAATGTTTTACAGACTTAGATATAAAAATTATATTGTTGGTAAAGTTGAAGCAGCACAAGAAAGTATTAAAAAAAAATTTGAAGAAATAACATGTTTAAATATTGTTACTTCAGATGATGCTAAAACTGTGGCTCATAATAACATTATGTCTATGTTTATGGAGAAATTCAATGCTGAAGACACATCGAGGTTAAATATTATTTTCTCAATCAATTTAATTAAAAATTATTACAAAGAAAAATTTAAGTTCAATTTAAAATCGCATTGTTATTATCAATATTTATAATTAATTTTTATTTCAGAGATAATAAATATCGTATTTTAACTTCACTACCATCAACTTTAAGCACATGCAATATAACACGAACATTCAATTGCTCTAAGCATATGGTAAATGTTGCCAAAAAATTGCAAAAAGAAAAAGGCATTCTATCAGTACCCGGCGTCAAAAACGGACGAAATCTTTCGAGTGATAACATAGATTTAATAACCCAATATTACCGAAACGACGAAAATTCAAGGCAATTGCCTGGGATGAAGGATTACGTGACTATCAAAAAAGATGATGGAGCGAAAGAGAAAGTTCAAAAGAGACTTGTTTATTGTAATTTAAAAGAACTTTACCAATCTTTTAAATTAGAATTCCCGAATTGCCAAGTAGGTTTCTCTAAATTTGCCGAACTTCGTCCCAACGAATGTGTTCTGGCAGGAGCTAGCGGAACACATACAGTTTGTGTGTGTATCTTTCATCAAAATGTTAAACTTATGATCGAAGGTCAGAAAATAGAATTTGATTTCAGAAACCTTAATTAGTTTGATTTACACTTCTTAAGAATAAAAATTATCGTAATAATTATAATTATTCTAATATTTCTAATTATTATAATAATAATATATTATTATTATTATTATATTAATTAGAATTAATAAAATAAATATAATTATTAATAATAATTATAATCAATTATCTGTTTATAGGCTCGGATTTACAAAATTTAACCAAAACTTGGGAAATTCCAATAAAAGGAAAAAGTTCGTACAAGGAGCTCTTTAAATATCTGCTATGTCTAAATCCGATTATCAAATGTTACGAAGGTCAGTGTGCTTTATGTCCCAGCAATGATATTCTAAAAGAAAAACTAATCGACGCATTTAATAATGACTTAGTCGAGGAAGTGAATTACAAACAATGGATATCAACAGATAGGTAAATATTAAGTTATAGTGTAAATTTATGTTGGTTTTGATTTATTACTGTTTTTGAATTAGGTGCTCTCTGAAAACTTTGAACGAAACTATTGATGAATTTGTTCCATCTTTAATAGAAAAATTGACCAAACTACTTTTTCACGATTTTATCGCCACTAAACAGTCTCTGCATTTTAAAAATGTAAAGAAGAATTTAGAAGTTGGCGATTTCGTGGTAACTCTCGATTTTTCAAAAAATTTTGCATTTGTTGTTCAGGAAGCAGTCCAAGGATTTCACTGGAACAACAATCAGGCAACGGTTCATCCGATTGTCATATATTACAAAAATCGTGAAACAAATGAAATTGAACATGTTTCTTATGTTGGCATATCGGATTGCCTTAACCACGACACTATTGCGGTATATACGTCTCAGAAAAAATTAATCGATTTTCTGAAAAGAAATTTTTTAATCGTCAACAGAATTATATATTTTTCGGATGGAGCACCTCAACAATATAAAAATAAAAAGAATTTTGTTAATTTAACCCATCACTTGACAGATTTTGGAGTTGAAGCTGAATGGAATTTTTTCGCAACAGCTCATGGAAAAGGAGCCTGCGATGGCGTTGGAGGCACATTAAAACGAATAGCTCGAAGATACTGTTTACAAAGTGGAACCAGAAATGAAATTTTGACCGCGCAAAAACTTTATGAATGGGCAAAAGAAAATTTTAAAAATATAAACGTTTTTTTTTATTCAACGGCCGATTATGAACTTGCAGCTGAGTTTCTCACGTTAAGGCATAAAAAGTGCAAGACGATCAAAGGAACTCAGTCCATTCACTTTGCATCGCCAATTAATAAGAACACCCTTAAAATTAAATTGTTTTCGGAAAGTTTAACTTCTGATATTGTTTACACAGAGTAAAAAAATATTTGCTAATTTTAACCAAATATTAATAAGATTTTTTGTTAATCTAGATCTACATAACTTTTGTTACGTTTACAACAAACTATAATCTGTTAACTAAGTACACAGTTTTAAAAGTCATATTTATTGATATCAGTTTTTAGTTTTTTAATTTTATATTGTAAAAAGTTTAACATAATTCTTTGTAAACGTAACATAATTCTTGGTAAATGTAACATCACTCCAAAAGTTATTTGGACCTAGATTAATAAAAAAATATGTTATTAATTGGTTAAAATTAACAAATATTTTTACTGTGTAAATAAGTAGTTTATTAGCTATTTATGTATCAAGGGCATTACGTAGGCTTTAATGCCCAAAGGCGAAACTAGCCCGAGGGCCTTTGGCCCGAGGGATAGGATTTCGCGTGATGGGCATACAATGCTTTATTTTCTACTTAAAGATTTATGTTTTTATCAAAAATTTAAATAATAAATAAACTTGTCAAATTTCCTACTGTCACTGTACCAAATGTTGACTTATGTCAAACAAAAATTAATCAAAATTTTATTTAAGAAATTCCGCAAAATATTTTACAAAATGCAGCCAAGGCTACACAAAAGTTATTATTTATTATAGTCAGTGATTGAAAACAACAAATTTTCTGCAGCTTTGGCTGCATATTGTATGATGTTTTGTAGATTTAAATTTGCGGGCATTATGATAACGCCCGGCTATAACGCCCTGTGGTTGTTATAGATACGTTTACTTATTTGATTTGCAAGGTGTTATGGATCAATAATAGATAAGTAGAAAATAAAATAATTACATACATTACATATTCGGTAAAATGTTTTTCTTGTTAAAATTTTCACAAATCTGGACTGATATTAACAAATATTATTTATCTTACAGTGCACTGCTTGGCTTATCGCTTGTAAAATATTTTGTATTTTTTTAATAATAAAATAAATGTAATGCAATGAATTTAGTCTTTTAATAAAATATAATTAAAATAAATACTACATTTAACTCAATGAAACAATCTCTTTCTCCGTTTGGCGAAGCGAAGTCGCTCGGAGCCATTGATCGCGGGAGTAACGATTTCACGCATCGCATCACAAAAAAATTCATAACTTCTACAATTTTTGAGTCCCCCCAAAAAGTAACTAGTCAAAATTTGCGCAAGATTCAGGGCTATCACCATAAATTTTTTGAAAAATTTTTGAGATGGCATTTTTTGGATAATTGAATTTGTTTAAAAAAAAATGATTTTTTTAATGAATTTTTAGGTTAAAATTTTTGAAAATTTTTTTTTCTTAAAGAGCGCCCAAAAATATGTACATCTAAATTTATCTCGAAATTTTCAGTCGTTTCAGTTTTTTAATATTCGAAAAATAAGAAACGTGACATTTTTTTTTATTTATTATATAAAATCCACAAAAATGCATAAAAAAAATTAAAATTTTGGATTTCTCCTTTATTTATGTTCCTCTGTCGGCCCTGAAAATTTAAAGTAAATCGGAAACATGAAGTGTGAATCTTGGCCGATTTGGCGTGGATCGCCCCATATATATATACAGTGTGACCCATTTGTTTGCGACTCACCCCTGTAAAATCTTTATTAAGTGTGCGATTTTAACTGGATTTGTTTTAAAGTGTATATATATGATAAACTTTATTTTTGGAGCAAAAGATGCCATATTAGTACAAAATACAAGGCCTACTATGTCAGTTTTTAAGAGTAGATTTTTAAGGATTTATATTAGTGATTTTTTTAAATAAAATCCAAGCACGGCACCATGTTACTATTAGTTTAATTTTATTTCAATGTTTTTTCATGGATAACTTGACAAAATAAATATATATATATATATGTGCAAAACGGCTAATACACGTCCGAAATAGAAACTTTTGTAAAGAACGCGCCTCCGAAATCGGAGCCGCATTCGAAAAATCGGAGGCCAATTCGAAAGCAGCTAGGAGGTAAATTCGACTTGGATACACATACAGATACACAATCCGGTTCACCGTTCTTACGATGAAAGCGCTACTGTTTTATACAGATGTTTACCAAATTAAGTATACCAGGTGACATACCTCAGAACATTTTCTATTTAACCGAAATTTGGCAACAGGGTGCGGAGGCCATTTAATGCCACGAGTATGTATTTCTGTAAATGTCTTATTTAAAAAAAATATATTTTTAATACGTTAATGAAATAATGATATACATTTAAAATGTATTACATTTGAAAAAATAAATGTATTATTATTACGAATTATTTATGGGTTTAAACATTAAATACAAAGTGTAAGTCTGTAAACTGCTCAAAATGTATTCATATAATCATTTATAACACAGCAAATACTCGTAAAAACGTTCTTTTTTAGGACTAAATATAGTTCTTCTCTTGTGATACACTTTTTAGCTTCACAACTTGAAAATAAAGACGAAAACACTTAAATGTGGAAGTATGTGGAAAAAATAATAATTTCCTCGTAAAACCAATATTCAATGCCATTGATTAAGCTGGCGCTCAAAGCGAAACTTTGCGAAACTTTTTTTTTAGCCTTTTATCAAGTTTAATAATAAACTAAACAATGCAAATTTTACTCTGTATAGATAATTGGATAATTCACATAGTGAAATTAGATTTACATAATTAATATATACTTTGATTTAAAGTACTTACAACATGGTAACACCTCCATTTTAAAAGTTTTAGATTTACTTCACGGCAACTGCAAATTTACACAATGTATTAGCATTAAATTTGGCAAAATACAGGTTGCGCTCACGACTACCTCACAACACGCGAACAACATGACATTTTTTCAACCCTGTCTTTATCCGTTTTACAATTTTTTTGTTTTTTCCAAGGTTTTAAATATTTGGGAACATTTTGCTATGTAAAGAAACGAATATTATTGTATTCTGTTTTTTTACTTCTGTCGCCGTAAATACCTCATTTTGCCTTACGTGCGTCGCGACGATGTGAGTTTAATTTTATTAAATTTTAAATTTATTTTGTGATTGTGTTTTATACTCCCGGGCTGAATAACGTTTGACGTTATTTCAACGCTAATCGATTAATCACGGTGTTGGGAAACCCAGGTTAAAATTTTAGGAGGGCTTAACAACGACCGGTTTAGCCATAGTTATATACAAAATAGTTTATTGAATTTAACTGTAAGTGGCGCGCTGTATCTATTTTTCTCTAATCACACAGCTGTAGAAAAAACGTAATTACATGAAATTGTACTGATAAACAATTGAAAATCATCATTTATAAAAAAGTTTGGTACGAAAATCCTGAAAATTTCATAAAATGTTAATGTAAACGCTTTATATCTCAACAAATATTAATCTTAGCGATTCAAACTTTTTTAAAGAAAATTAAATTTTCTACAATTTTGTCTTTTACATTTTTTCAAAGAATCCAGTCACTTGAAATATCTTAAAAAATATGAGAATTTTTCACTAAAATAAGATTTAGTGACCCGTGCCATCCTACAGGTGCATATTACAGCTATGGCACATAAAGCATTTTTGTAGAACTTTTGATTACGAGTAAATCCCTTTTTGAAACAATCCAATAGCATAAAATGCGGCTGAGATATAGATATTTAAAAAAAAAATCAAAGTTTACGTGTATTTTAAATGGGAAATCTTTATACGCTTTGGTAGAGTACTTTGAGTTAATATTAAGGGCTCATATTTTGAGGATTTTTTTTTTAACATTTTCAACAAGATTTTGAGTTGGGAGCGAAAAAATAAAAATAGTCGTAAAAAAAACACCCTAATATATATATATATATATATATATATATATTAGGGTGTCCCAAAAAAAAAGAATTTATTTTTTTTTCTTGTCTCTTGTAAAAATATGCTAGTTTATCATGCTGTAAGAGCCCTTTCAAAATATCAGCTCGACTAAAAATTTTGTAGGGGTCGCTCAAGATTTTTAAAAATTTTCAAAATCGTCAAAAATTGAATTTTTGTTTTATTTTAATTCTTTTTCTCGTCTCGATATTATTTTTTAGGTTGAAAATAATCAAAATTCTGTAAATTTCAAATCAATATTTTGATTTCTAAAGGTCGCTAAAAGTTCGTTGATATTTATATTCAGAGGTCGCTCGAAAACATTCAAAATACTCTACTTTGAAAGTTAAAAAAATCTTGAGCGACCTTTAGAAATTAAAATATCGATTTGAAATTTTCAGAATCATTATTATTTTTAAATTAAAAAATAATATCGGAACGAGA